CGGTGCAGCGGGGCGCGCGGTGCACGACCAGGGCACACGGTGCACGGCCGGTGCAGCGGGGCGCACGGTGCACGGCTGGTGCAGTGGGGCGCACGGTGCAGCGGGGCGCGCGGTGCACGGCTGGTGCAGTGGGGCGCACGGTGCAGCGGGGCGCGCGATGCACGACCAGGGCGCACGGTGCACGGCCGGTGCAGCGGGGCGCACGGTGCACGGCTGGTGCAGTGGGGTGCACGGTGCAGCGGGGCGCGCGGTGCACGACCAGGGCACACGGTGCACGGCCGGTGCAGCGGAACACATGGTGCACGGCTGGGGCACATGATGCGTGGCCGGGGCACACGGTGCACGGCTGGTGCAGCGAGGTGCTCAGCACAGGGCGCTTGGCAGGACGCCCACGGCCCCAGTGGGTGTCCCGTGCCCGTCTCGCCCTTCCCGTGCACCCGTCACCCCTCGGGGAGCCCGGCGCTCCCGGCTGCAGCCTTGGCCCCCGTGCGGGTTCAGCGTGCGGCATCGCTCCCCTGGGCGCTCGCTGCCTCGCCACGTTGCCCCGAAGACGCGAGTTTGGGGTTGTTTCCGCAGCAGCTTCCGCTGCTTTGGGAGCAGAGGCGGGAGCCCTCTCGTGAGCCAGGGAGCAGCCTGGTTCGGGTGGCAGGGCCCTTCCCGGGCCTCTTGCCGCGTCCCCTCGCGCGCCCAGCCTTCGTGCGCAGCCCTCCTCGCAGCCGGGAGCCGCGCGCGCCCTTGGGCAGGAGCTCTCTTGGAGGGCAAACCTTGTTTGTCCTTTTTTCCTTTATTTTCTCCGTGGCCAGTCTGCGGGGAGCATGCTCCCCTCACCTGCGGGCACCCAGAGCTGCTTTGCTGGGAAAAGCAGGTATTTTTCTTTACTCCTTAAGCAAACTTGAGGTTTGGGGTTTCTCTGGTAGCCACAAGCTCCCGCTCACAACCAGGAGCGGAGCTGCCCGGCGCGAGGTTGTCCTTGCACATTGGCAAAATATTTTGTTATGGGAAGATGCTAAATATTTTCTTAGCAATTCTGTGATTTCCTGTCGTGGGCAGGCCTGACCACCTGCGTTAGCAGGAGCAGCATGTGCAGGATGAAGTGCGGATGCTGCTGTTCTTTGATTGTTTGTTTCCTTTTTACCCCTTTTGGGGTTGGAGCAGAGGCCCCAGCCCTGCGCGGGATGGCACGGGTGGCGCCGTGCCCCCTGCGCCGTCCCCGTGTTTGACGTCTCGTGGTTCAGGTGCCGGCAGCAGGAAGGGCCGTGCACACCCGGCCCTCGCGAGGCGGCGGGACGGGCGCTGCTGTTCGCTCTGCCGAGCCGCAAAAAGGCAGCGCCGCGCTCCGAGCAGGAGCCTGGGAGCGGGAAGGTGCTGGTGTCCCGGTGCTCCGCCGGCGGTGATGGGCAGCGCAGGGTGGGCTGGTCAAGACAGCCAGTGCCTCTGCGGTGGGAGGGTTGCGCGCTGCGGCGGAGGGAAGCGCCGCGAGGCGCTGGCGCACGGGGAGCCCGCGTGGCCCCGCGGGCGCTTCCTGGTGCTGGCCCTTCGTCCCCGGCGTCGCCGCGCGCTCCGGGACGTCAGGAAGGAAGTCTGCAAGCGCGCGCCGTGCGCAAGGGCGAGAGCGGAGCCTCTTCCGCAGCGCCGTGCCGGGCAGCCGCTGTCCCACGGCGAGCGTGGCGGCCCCTGCGCGCGCGGAGGCGCATGCGGAGCCGTGGACCCGCGAGCTGCATCAGGTGCTGCCCTGTCGAGGGGCAGGCGGGGAGGCTTGTGGGGTCACGGGTGGAGCTTCCTGAGGAGCCGGGTGACGTGCGGGGCCGCAGGGCGGGAGAGGAGGCGACGTCCTGCGCGGCTGCAGAATCCATCAGCGCCGGGAGCTGGCGGCAACATCCGCGGGGACAGGATGGGCCCGCGTGCGAGCGCGCGGTGCCCGCGCGGGCTGGCCTGACCAGCCCTCGCTCTCTGCAGCCCAGCAGGTGCTCGGTGGCCGCCCGGCTTCGGCATGCAGCTCGGCTAGCGGCAGGATGCGCTTCCACGCACGGGGTAAGTGGCCGGAGCGCGCGGCTCCCCTGGGACGCGGCAGTGGGCCTGTCGATATTTCATGTGTCTCCACACCTCCGTGATGCTCTATTAATACCTCACTGCTTTCACCAAGGAACGGTTTAACCCTGCTGATGCTGGTGCGTGCCGGGCATGCAGCACGGGGGGCTCGGGGCCCCGTTGGCCGCGGCTTTGCGCTCACCTCGCCTCCTTCGCTCGGCTCCGTTTGCAGCCCCAGTTGCAGCTCCTGTAGCTGTTGTTGTGGAGCCCTGGTCGCTGCCGCAGCCCCGGGGCGCCCAGACTTGCTGCCTGCACGAGCTGCTTCAGCCAGGTCCCTCCTTGCTGCGTGCAAGGAAAGCCACCAAACTGCCTAGTTCTTACTTGGGTTGAAAACTCCTGGAGCCAGTTTGTGCGTCTGAAGGGCTAGAAGATGGTTTCTGATCAGCAAGTCGTTCTGCCTAATCATGCCATGAAGTTTTACGTCACAATAACTATTGTGGAGGAAATTACTTATCCATGTTCTCTCCTAGACTAATTAGCCTTATAAATCTTGGAAAATTCTTTGTGGAGCTTATATAAAACACCTAAAAAATAAGCTGCAACTGCTCGGGGTTGCTCAGCAGAGCGTTGCTGAGCAGCTCGCGAGCGCCTGCGTGGCTGGCCCGGGTGAATTGGGAGCAGTGGGGCTGCTGGCGGCCTGTGGGGCCCGGTGCTGCCTCGCGGCAAGCAGGGCTGGGCTTCCCTCGCTCCGGCGGGAAGCGGCAGGCTCCGAGTCGCGGCAGTGATGGAGAAGCTGCTCCCGGCCGCGGGCACCTGGGTTCCTGCCGCCCCGGGGTGGCTGAGCTCAGCTGAACGACTTCCCCATATTCGAGGTGTGTTGCAGCAGTGGCGCTTCTGCCCGTGGCTGTGCGGGCAGCGCAAGTAGCCCCTGGCCCCGGGCGATTCCCACAGCAATTCCCGTGCCGCTGCCCTGCGGGAGACAGGAGCTTGGAGTGCTCCTCGGCACCCCTCGTCCTGCCAGGCTTGCCTGGAGCACCGTCCTGCCAGCAGCAGCTCCCTGATTTGCATGCCAAAAGGAGCAATTTCCCTTTTTGGCCCTATTTTTGCTGTTTCCTTGGAGGCAGAGCTGCGAGCAGAGCCGCTGCGGGAAGCCCTCCTTTGAGCCGTCTTTGCAGGGATCAGTGCGAGTCCTTCCGCACTTGCAGCCTCCTCTTTAAAGCCCAGAGCTCTCCTGCGAGCTGCCCTGCCCGGGTCTGCGTATCCGTCACTATTCCAGCTCTCCTTGTGTCCTGCCCGGCTGCTCCATCGCAGCGCAGTGGAACAGCTTCCCGTGGCTTTAGGGACGAGTGCTTGGGCCCATGCACGTGGCCGAGCAGCCCGGGACAGCGGGGCTCAGAGGAGCAGCACTTGATTTAATGGCTCTTAGTGCTCCACAAATGCCAGAGAGCTGTTTTCTGTTCCGAGTGATTAATGATCCAATCAAACCCCCTCGCACTTGACTTTTAGGCAGTGTATGGGTGTGCATGCGAGGCTGCTTCCCCATGAGGCGTTCAGCCAGGACATTAACCGTGTTGCTAAACCCCGTGGAGGCAGGTTTGCTGGCTGTGCCGCCTTGTCGCTGGGCTGGCAAACCCCTACCTGGCCGCTGCGGCAGCGGGGCAGGCGCGCGGGGCCGCGGGGAGCCGGGCTGCGAGCAGAGCGGGGTGAAACGGGGTGTCCTCGCGGGGGAAACGGCCCCTGCTCCGTGCGGGTGAGAGGAGCTGGTGCAGGAGCCGGGCTCCTGCGGCCCCGACACCGCCGGGACGTGCAGGGCTGCTCGGCCGGGGACGTTTCTAACGGCTTCAGCTTCACTGCTGAATACGGCCTTTCAGCAAGAGAGGTTGGAGGAGAAACCGCCTTTCTGGAGCAGTTCTTTTGGTTGCCCATGAAATGAAGCGCATGGACATGCAGTTCCTGCTGCTTGCATTCAGCTCCCGCCCCAGCCACATAATCACAAAGGGCTCCAAATCCCTCGGTGGCCCAAGGGCAGGATTGCAAAACCTGTGCTCCATGTGCTGCGGGCGAGGGGGAGGGCGCGGAGCCGTGCCAGCCTTCCCGGGCGCCTTGGCAGGCCCGGAGGCTTGGGGAAAGAGCAGCTTCCTGCTGGAATAGCCCACCGGGGCACAGAAAGCCCATCTCGTGCCAGATGAGGTCTCCAGGGAGCCTCATGCAAGGTCAGTCTCTCGGAGGAGGGGACTTTGCATTGGCTGCGTTTGTTGCTGTTGTTTTTCTTACCCTTCAGATTGGTTTAGTTTCTCAAACAGCCTGTTTCATCCTAACTGGTGACTGCTTCTCCCTGCCTGCACCTTTGACATTTGCATGAAACGCTGCTTTTCTTTCCCTTCAGCTCCTCCTCCCCGCTTTCCTCCCCAGCAGCATATGTAAAAGTGAAGCAGAAGCAGAAAGGAAGCAGGTGCTGCTGCTGAGCAGCGCAGCAGGCTGCGTGCAGGAGGCTGCACGGAGGGTTTGGGGTTCAGCTGGGACACAACAAACTCCTGAAATATTTGCTCCCAGTTTGGAGCAGGTAAAGCTGGAGTGCTTTTCTCCTAATATACATGCATGGTCCAAAGGAGTGACTGGATGAGGGCAAAACCAGAGCACGAGTTAGGGAAGCGACTTGCTTGGCTGCTTGTCTCCTAAAGCTTCGTGGAGCTTTGCTCGAGCTGAAAACCTGTGATCCTGGGAACACAAGCAATGAAGAACTAACCTCCCTGGGTGTGCTCGGAGACTGCCTCTAATTACTTTGTGGGTAGAAGGCACCTGGGCTGCAAGTTGCTGATAAGTAGGCGAGATGATGAAAGCCTGGGCGTGCGCCCGCGTGCCGGGAGGAGCGTGGGGCGCCGGGTGCGGGGCCCCCAGCACCCTCATGGGCTCTGCTTGTCCCGCAGGCACCCGTGGGACCCGAGGCTCGCTGGCCGGGCGCTGACGTGGAGCAGCATGCGGGTCACGGCGTGGCGGCTGCTGCTGGCGGCCGCCTCGGCCGTGGCGCTCGCCGTCACGCTGCACCTCGGGCAGCAGGTCCTGGAGTGCCAGCAGGTGCTGAGCGAGCGGCGGCAGCGCCGCATGAGGCCCGAGAGCGAGGAGCTGGTCGTGATGGGCGCCAACCACGTGGAGTACCGCTACAGCAAGGAGATGCCGCTGATATTCGTCGGCGGCGTCCCGCGCAGCGGCACCACGCTCATGAGGGCCATGCTGGACGCCCACCCCGAGGTGCGCTGCGGGGAGGAGACCCGCATCATCCCCCGCGTGCTGGCCATGCGCCAGGCCTGGTCCAAGTCGGGCCGCGAGAAGATGCGCCTGGACGAGGCCGGCGTGACGGACCAGGTGCTGGACGCCGCCATGCAGGCCTTCATACTGGAAGTGATCGCCAAGCACGGCGAGCCCGCCCGCTATTTGTGTAACAAGGACCCGTTCACCTTGAAGTCCTCCGTCTACCTGTCCAGACTGTTTCCCAACTCCAAGTTCCTGCTCATGGTTCGAGACGGCCGCGCGTCCGTGCACTCGATGATCACGAGGAAGGTGACGATCGCAGGCTTCGACCTGAACAGCTACCGCGACTGCCTCACCAAGTGGAACAAGGCGATCGAGGTGATGTATTCGCAGTGCCTGGAGGTCGGGCGCGCCCGCTGCCTGCCCGTCTACTACGAGCAGCTGGTCCTGCACCCCGAGCACTCCATGCACACCATCATGAAGTTCCTCGGCATCTCCTGGAGCGACGCCGTGCTGCACCACGAGGAGCTCATCGGCAAGCCCGGGGGAGTGTCTCTGTCCAAGTGAGTGTTGCTGCTTTTCAAAGAGCATTTTTGTTACACAGAGCGGGTTGAGGCCGAAACTGGGGGGCAAGGATTTGTCGCTAATGTTTGGGCGTAGTTTTCAGGGTAATGCATCCCAATTTGTAGCACTGGCCTTGATTTTTTAGTAAAACACAGCTTGAATATTAGCGATATGTTGTATCCAACAGGACAGCTTGTTAGGCAAGGACTGTAAAAGCAGGTGACTGTTTTATTCATCTGCTGTTGGCAGTGTGGAAACAATTTTGGTGTCTAATTTGAAAAGAACTGCTGGCTCAGAAACTTGAGCTTTTTAATAGCTCCTTTTCTCCACCTGTCCTCAAATATCTGCTCAGAGGATTGCAGTTCTGCTGTTAATGAATCGTTTTCAGTAGTTAGCACTAATCCTTGCCACATTTGGTGCTCATATTGCAGTCTAAAAGAGACACCTCCCGCCATGGCACACGTGCCGCTGCTCCCTAGCTTTCCCTCTGCCTCCTCCGGCCTTGCGGGAGGCTCTTCCTTCACACAGCTTCTCGTGGTCGCTTCATAGCGCGTTGTTATTCCGGTTGGAAACTTGAGTCTGAGCTTCCAATCCAGCAGAAACTGTTCAGTGCTGCGCGGGGGCCACGTGGGCAGCCTGGGCCCGTGTCCCTCCCGCTGGACATGGGCAGAGGGGGACGTCCTGGCGCCGCTTTTCCTGCAGGCGGGAGGGTTGTGCTCGCGCTGCGCTTCCCGTAGCTTCCCGGAGCGCTTCCCGGAGCACTTCCCGGAGCAGCGGCCGAGGGGAGTCGGGGCGGGGGCTGCTGCTGTCCTGGGGGAGCTGCCCCAAGCAGCTCTGCTGGGCTCGGCGGTGGCTCTGCTTTGGGCCTTGCGTGGGCTTCTCGGTGGTGGCCAGTGACAGGACAAGGGCAATGGGTGCAAACCGAACCAAGGGGAAGTTCGCTCTCCGCATGAGGAAGAACGACTTTCCTGTGAGGGTCACGGAGATTGTGGAGTCTCCTCTCTGGAGATCTTCCAACCCCGCCTGGATGTGACTGGGTGCCCCGTGCTCTGGATGTCCTGCTGGAGCAGGGGGTTGGACTGGATGATCCCTAGAGATCCCTGCCAACCTCAACCATCCTGGAAGTCTATGGACACAGCAGCACTTGATCCACGTGTGTGTTTTGGGCACCCTGTGGGTTGTTATCCGAGCTGAAGGTTTTCTGTCTGACCATAAGACACATGCATAATCCAGCTGACAGCAGCCGTAGTGTCTTGTTTTTATTTTATGTTTTTTTTGTTTTTTTGTTTCCAGGATAGAAAGATCAACAGACCAGGTCATCAAGCCTGTGAACCTGGAGGCGCTATCCAAGTGGATCGGCCACATCCCGGGGGATGTTGTGCAGGACATGGCCCACATAGCACCAATGCTCGCCCGGCTCGGCTACGACCCGTACGCCAACCCGCCCAACTACGGCAACCCGGACCCCTTGGTGGTCAACAACACGCACAGGGTGAGCGCGGCTGTCGCGGGGCGCTGGGCTCGTGCTGGGGCGCGGAGCCCCTGTGCGCGCTCAGAACAAAAGCCCTCTTTGGGGAGGCAGTGCGTGGCTTTCAGAGACAAGCAGCTGGAGGCTGGCGTGGCTCAGGCCCGGGATGTTGCTTGTGGTGTGTGGTGGCATTCGGTTTTCCGTTGGGCAGGCACTGCCTGTCCCTCCCTGTGCAGCCCGGCTCTTGGTATCAGGCACGGGAGCCGTGCTGGGCGCTCTCGGTGCAGAACTGCTGCCTCTGGAAACTGCTGCCTCTGGAAACCGTGGGAGAAGGGAGGAGGTTTCCCTGGGCGGGTTGTGCGCCGACCGCTCCTCCTCGCTCCGGGTGCGTGTGAGAGCTCTGTAAGGACATGCCATTTGGATGAACATCTTCTCCCAGGGGGTTAAGGGACTCGTGGCGTCTTTACTGTCCTCTCTCCAGTGTTTCTTGGCACAAACTCAGAGAACTAGCGTGATGCTAAAGGCCTAAATGTGGCCCTTTTCCATGTTAAGGAGGGATCTGGAGAACCTGTTTTTGTCAGGCCCCTGCACTCCTGTCTTTGCTTAGGAAGTCCTTGCAGAGGAAATCTCCAGCTGTTCCCCCAGCAGAGCAAATGCCCATCGGGGATCTCTGCTGGTTCAGATGCACGGGGACAATCCGTGAGGGGGACATGCTGATGTTCCTGAGCCGCTGTTCAAGAAGGGGTCACTCTCATTTGCCTTTTCCATAGGTTCTGAAGGGGGATTATAAAACACCAGCCAATTTGAAAGGTCATCTCCAGGTAAGAGTCGAGCTGCTTCCCGAGGCTTTTTTGCTGTCCCTTGCTCCCCTATGGGGAGATGCAGCCCGGGCCGCCCTCCCGCAGGGACAGCTCCCATCCTATGGCCCTTCCCTTGTGCTGTGCACCGCTCCCTTCCTCCACGTTCTTATTTTTTATGTCCTATTTGTGCCACAGCATCCTGATGGTGCCTTGTGTTGCTCGGAGCCTGCTTGTCTGTGTCCATCGCCTCTCCTGACCCGCTCTTGCTTATGGTTTCCTGCTGTGCGGCTCTGTGTTTGCTCATGGGACTCGTGCTCTTTCGGACAGCCACCTTGCACGCTCTCCCTTAGCTCAAGGCTGTCACCGTCCTGGCCCTGTCACGTTCAGGGAGGGCAAAGCTTAGCTAATTTAGAAATTATAAATACTTCTGGTTCTTGAACTTGGGTGACTGTTTTCAAGTGCTGAAAGTATGAGGCTCTGCCCTGATTTTCTCTGCCCCGAACGTTTCCCTTTCCTGCTTCTTTGCACACTGGGGATGTTCAGAGTGGAATCTGGTAATGGGAGACTGATCCTTCTGTCTTGGTTGTTCCAGGTGACTCAGAACACATCGTCCTCTCACTAAAAAATTATTGATTTCCAGGTAAGTCTTTGCACCTTAATTTGGGACTTGTGCAAACCTGCTTGCCTTGCTCCAGAGTTACTGTTTTGCTTGAGAAACTTCTGTTGGCCTTATGTGAATGATCCTTCACAGTGGCTTGAGTTTTTCAGTGCGGCGCTGCAAACTCTGGGATAATTTGCGGGAAAATGTTTTTCTGAGCTCTGAAACCAGGCTTACTTCAGCAAAACGGCAGCGAGGCATTTGGGAGCGTTCCTGCTGCACGTCCCTGGTGGGATCACCGAGACGGAGGGTGGGAATGGGCAGTGGGGCAGAGCAGCTCCCGCAGGAGCCGGCCGGGATGCGGGATGCGCGGGACGTGATGAAGCAGTCCCCGATGCAGCCCCGTGTTTGGAAAAACAAAGCTGCAGCCCTTGGTCTCTGCTCCCAAAGCACTGCCAGCATCGCGGGTGTTGTTCTGATCGTCTCTCCAGGTAGCATCTCTGCTAAGCCATAAATGAAGAACTTTCTAAAAATGAAGCTTTCAAGATTGCTTTCTATTTAAAAGCAGTATCTTGTGCTAAAGCCAAAGCCTTGAATAAGGATGGATGGCGTATGACCAGTATCCTGGAGCTGGGACTTTGATTTTTATTTATTTATTTATTTTTAACGTAGCTGCTGGTTTAAAGCCGTTAGGTGGTATTTGCTGTGCTGGGTCCGCGTGTGCCCTTCCTCAGGTCCCGCGTTTCTTGCCTTTCAGAGAGCTGCAGAGGGCCGTACGTAGTCCGAAAGGAAGAGTCCGCAGTCGCAGAGGCGGAAATCTGTTCTCCAAGCATATTGCTTGCTACTACTATTGCCAAAATGACTGCTCCGCGAGGAATGTATTTGCATTTATGTGCAAAGGCCAAACGTTTTGCGCCTGGAGCATCAGGGCCCTCCCTGCTCCCGGTGCTCCGTGGTGAACAGCAGCTGTGGACCCCGTTCCCGACTCCTCCAAGGGCCGTGGAAGGAGATTTAGGGCTGTCGCGCGAGGACGCCTCGTCCCGGCGGCTCGGGCGCCGTCCCCACGCGGCTCGTGGCCTGCCAGCGCGTTTCTTGTACGAGCCGCTGCCCCCTCGTGTGTAATTTACAGAATCTATTTAAGAATTAATATATGGACGCCCCGTTTTGTGCCTGGCTCCTTGCGGTTAGCGCAGTGTTTGAATGGGGGGTTCCCTGCCTGGGCCTGGCAGGACCGGGACCGGGACCGGGGAGGCTCCTGGCCCGGTCGGGCCGGTCCGGGTCCTTGTTGGGGTGGGGGGGAGCGGGGAGGATTGGGGGGGTCCCGGTCCCGTTGCGGCCTAGGCCCCGTCGGTCCTCCAGACCACAGAGACGCGCGAGTTGGCCCCACCCTGCCGCCAGCGTCTCTATGGTGGCGGCGCGGTTTCCGCCGCGCGCCCGGAAGAGGAGGGCTGGTTTCCGGTGGGCGCGCTGTGTCCGTTGCGGCCGTTGCGGCGGGGGTGGCCCGCGGCGCCGCCATGTCCATGTCGCACCTGTACGGGGCGGAGGGCGAGGACGGCGTGGAGATGGAGAGCTTCGAGGTGTCCGAGTGGGACCTGCAGAACGAGTTCAACCCGCACCGGCAGCGCCACCGGCAGAGCAAGGAGGAGGCCACGTACGGCGTGTGGGCCGAGCGCGACTCGGACGACGAGCGGCCCAGCTTCGGCGGCAAGCGGTGCGCGGGGGGCCGCGGGGCGCGCCGCAGGCAGCGCTCGGTGCCTGCACATAGCCGTACACAGAGCTATACGCGCGTGTACGCGCCGCTGCCTACACGTGTGCCCTGCCCCGCAGCTCTAGGGACTACTCGGCCCCCGTGAACTTCATCAGCGCCGGCCTGAAGAAGTCGGCGGCCGAGGAGGTGTCGGAGGAAGACTCGGACGAAGACGAGAAGCCCGCGAAGCAGGAGGAGGCCCCCAAGGAGTTTGTGCCCAAGAAGTTAAAAACGGTGAGGTAGCCGGTGATCTGCCCTGAATTCTGTTTGGGGTGTTCCTGAGGTTTAAGTTACAATAGCAGCCAGGCTCTTGAGGGAGCAACAGAGTGTCTGAGAAAGGGAGCAGTGACTGTAAGCCAGGGAAATGACGCTGGCTGGGGTGAAAGAGAGTGTTTTCTGTGTTTTTGTAGCTATGCTTTTGTAGTGTTCTGTGTCCTTGGGAATTTTGCTCCTTTCGGAGCCCCTTTATTCTGAGCTCATTCATTTAGATCACCTGAGGTTAAAAATGAAAGAAACTCCTCTTTTACTGCCTTTCTTTCTATTATTGAAGTCCCGAAGGCTGCTTTCTCTCTGCAGAACAAGGTGATTACTGTCTCACAAAGTAAAAACCAACCCCTGCTTAGGCACTTGAGTGCTGCGAAGCACAGGATCAGTAGCAGTTGTAGCTGTGGTCACTGATAAAGCCTAATAACTGGCACCTTATCTGGAGAGATCTTAACATGACAAGCTACTTAAATGGGCACAGAAATGATGTTCTTTGCCCTCAAAAAGCCAGAGAAACAGCAGAACCCTGTGGTGGCAGCTGAGACTTCTCAGGAGGCCGCCTTCGTTTCGAGCTCATGCATGCAAAGCTCGGTTCTTGTGCCGCCTCACAAAGTCTGTTGTTTTTTAAACAGGGTGGTAATTTCAAGCCCAGTCAGAAAGGCTTTGTAGGGGGCAGCAAGTCTTTCACGGACTTTGGAAGCTGGGAGAGACACACGAAGGGAATTGGGCAGAAGCTGCTCCAGAAGATGGGTTACGTGCCAGGAAGAGGTCTTGGGAAGAACGCCCAAGGTACCACGCTTGCGTCTTTGTGCTTTGGGAGCTCGGGGCTCACACCAGAGGTGGGATCTGATAAGGAGCTGTAATCCTGAGGTGGCCTAAAGCCTCTCGCTCGCTTCCTGACATTTCTTACAAATGATGTGAATCCTTATGATAAAATCCAGTTGTATTTGACTTGCTATACACCGGTTCACTGCTTTCATTACTTTGTATGCAAAGAAGAAGGGAGATAAAATTTCAAGAGTGGTCAGCTCAGGACTGAAGATATTATGTGATAGGATGAGAAAGCAGTGGATACGTGTGTGAATTGTTCTCTGCATTTTGTCACTGTCTGCACAAATTAAATGTTTTTATAGCCACTAAAAATTGATGTATTTGTAGTAGACACTCTAGCGTGATAAAGGGAATGTGAGGTCAGATGGCTTGCTCTCTGATAGCTTGCTAAAGTTACTGTATGGGTAGCACTTTGAGTACTTTCTCGGTAACTAAACCGTAACCTTTCTGCTCTAACTGCTGTCCTGTGCAGGGATTATCAATCCAATTGAGGCCAAACAAAGAAAAGGCAAAGGAGCTGTGGGGGCCTACGGCTCTGAAAGAACCGCGCAGTCCCTGCAAGACTTCCCCGTCGTTGACTCGGAAGAGGAGGCTGAAGAGGTGTGTGCGGCTACTGGTGTATCTCTTCTTGCTGTTCTGTTGCTTTTTGTGAACCTTAGGTCTAGCATCAGATTTTGTGTCAGAAAAGCCTTTCAGACCAGCTTTAGTAAGATGCTGAAGACTTAATGCTGCTTCATGTAGAGTGATTTTTTTTTTTCTGTGTTAACATAATGTTCTTTTTATAAGTTCTGGCTCATTTCAGTCCAGTAGTTTTACTTGAAGTCTCCCAAAATAAATGTTCTTTGTATCATTAATTTTTCTGTAGAAAACAGATCAATTTGTGTCATGACAGAGAAGCAATCTGCAACCTCCCACTTGTCTTTTTATTTAGGAATTTCAAAAAGAGCTCAGTCAGTGGAGGAAGGATCCTAATGGAGGAAAGAAAAAGCCCAAATACAATTATAAGACAGTAGAAGAATTGAAAGCCAGGGGTAGGATCAGCAAACAGCTTTCAGCACCTCAAAAGGAGCTGTCTCAGGTCAAGGTAAGGCTGATAACCTCAGTGATGGCATCTCTGGAAGGTGCTTTGTCCGTGTTAGTACTGTGCTTTCTAGCTGATGGAAATCTTGGTGGTTATGAGAAGGAGCTGTCCACATCCTCATGAAAATCAAAGGCCTCGGACTTGTCACCAAATCATTTAACACTCTACAGTGTCACCTGGGCTGTGGCACTTGCACGCAAGCAACCTTCAGCCCTCAGGAAAATGCAAATTAACCCAGAAATCTTTCATTGTGAGTTAAGTTTAATTCATAGAATGCTTAATTGTCTCACATTTGTCATAAATTAAATGTGTCCACTTTTGAAAGCCCAAGTGTACGTATTATGATTAAGGTACTTGAAGATCTCAGAAATCCAGATTTTCAATTCAAACTTGAAGTAAGTTTTTTAAGACTTGCTTGTTTTTGTTTGTTGGAAGGTTATAGATATGACGGGCCGTGAACAGAAGGTTTATTACAGCTACAGTCAAATTAGCCACAAGCACAATATTCCAGATGACAGCCCTCAGCAGCCGCTGGGCAAAGACTTGAAGCCGCAGGGATTTGCCCTGCCCGAGCTGGAGCACAACTTGCAGCTCCTCATTGACATCACGGAGCAGGAGATCATCCAGAATGACCGGCAGCTGCAGTACGAGAGGGACATGGTTGTCAACCTGACCCACGAGATACAGAAGATGTCCGAAGTCCTTTCCCACGAGGAGAAGGCAATTAACAATCTTAGCAAAGTCCTGGAGATGGTGGAAGAGTGTGAGAGACGGATGCAGCCCAGTTGTGAAAATCCCCTGACTCTGGATGAGTGTGCAAAGATTTTTGAGACGCTGCAGGACAAGTACTATGAAGAGTACCGGATGTCTGATAGGGTGGACTTGGCAGTAGCAATAGTTTATCCTCTCATGAAAGATTACTTCAAGAACTGGGATCCTCTCAAGGTGTGTATTAGTTTGATTTCTTCATGGTTTTTAGTTTATGGCTGGGCTGCCTTTATTGGACAGCACTGGACAGAAAAAACTCCCAGTGTTTATGGTGGAGTGAAATAAAGATGTACAAAACGTTGATCAGCTCTCCACCGCTACCCGGATGCTACTGCTTTACCTTTGGCGAAAGCTGAAAGGTCTGTCTTTGAAGCGGTCATATATGTGCTGCCTGTGCTTTATGCCATTTAGCCTGTGATGGGTGAAAGCGTCTGGGCTCTCCACACTTGCAGAGAGCGCTATTTTAAATCCGTAAAGTGGGATTTGCCTCCAGTGGGATTACAGGTAACTGCTACAAGTGCCTGCCTTGCCTTTTGAGTGGCAGATGAGCTGGGTGGGAGAGCCCTGCCTCGTCAAGCACACCAGGAGCCTGCTCTTTCTAGATAGCAGCTGAAATTAAAGAGCTCCCTGCCTTGTATCATTTCCAGGACTGTACATATGGCACGGAGATTATAGCCAAGTGGAAGAGCCTTTTGGAGAACGATCAGCTGTTGTCACACAATGGGCAGGATCTTTCAACAGATGCTTTTCACAGGTAAATAACATGAATTGTACTTTGTGCAGCCTCTCACAAAGCTGCTTCTTTGGAGGTGGAGGAAGCAGAGATGGGCGTGTGCTTTCTAAATGCTTCTCTTGATGTGTCAATTAAAATGCAGCTGTCAGCTATATAGAAGAAAACAGCTTTAAAATAGTTATTCCACATTCAATTTATTTCAGCCTGGGGCTATAGTTTCAAGCTTAACTTTGCTTTTTTTTTTCCCCAGACTGATGTGGGAAATCTGGATGCCCTGTGTAAGAAACATAGTAACACAGTGGCAACCTAGGAACTGTGGGTCCATGGTGGACTTCCTGGACAGCTGGGTGCACGTTGTTCCCGTATGGATCCTGGATAACATTCTGGATCAGCTCATCTTCCCCAAGCTACAGAAGGAGGTGAGATGAGGGAGCTGCTTTTGAATGGAGCTGCGCTCTGAGCCAGGTCTTAGCTGAGCAAAACTTACAAACTTCTCGTGTGTTGCGTCTCACTGTTGAGCAGTCACTGGGTTTGCATAATGCTTCTTTCTGCATCTGACAAAGTTTATTGATTAAAGGGTAGACTTACTTACATCTTTCTTGTTTTGCCCCAAGGTTGAAAGCTGGAATCCTTTGACAGACACAGTCCCAATCCACTCTTGGATCCACCCCTGGCTTCCCCTGATGCAGGCACGGTTGGAACCTCTCTACTCTCCCATCCGCAACAAACTGGCGAATGCGCTGCAGAAGTGGCATCCCAGCGACTCCTCGGCCAAGCTTATCCTCCAGCCCTGGAAGGATGTGTTCACACCAGGGTCATGGGAGGCTTTCATGGTCAAAAACATCGTGCCTAAGCTAGGTGAGACGAGCCAAACACTGCTGAGTTTCTTTGATTCAGCTGGTTGCCAGCTTCACCCTTACTCTTGGAAAAGATATATATTGGCTAAGTTGTCTGTGTTTTTTCAAAAGAATGTTATTAATTAGTTTAGAGCAAGTTTGCATCTATGTTGCTATTACTGTGCTTTTTTTTTTTTTTCTCTCAGGCAGACATTTTAGGAAAGGGGAAGTATTCTGATGATTCTCAGTGGTTTATTCTCTTATTTCTGCAAGTCAGTTGAGAACAGGAATAAGATTAGTATAATATCTGATAGCTGTTATTATTTTAAGTTTCTCAATGCTGGCAGCAAATTGCTTCCATTTCCAGCAATTGCATATTGCTTGGAGGCAGGGATCGGCCAAACAGTTCCAAGATCTTGAAGGTCTTTCTGTGTAATACTCAGTACAACTGCTCCTCAAATGATGTGTGTTGCTATTTGCAGGGAGCTGAGTTCTGGTCTAACTGCCCTCCCTCTTTTCCCAGGGATGTGTTTGAATGAGCTCATCATAAACCCGCACCAGCAGCACATGGATGCATTCTACTGGGTCATCGACTGGGAGGGAATGATTTCTGTCTCCAGCCTTGTCGGGCTGCTGGAGAAGCACTTCTTCCCCAAGTGGCTGCAGGTGAGAAACAGTCGACCTTGAGTAACTTGGAATAGGCTTGATTTGCACCAGAGTCTTTTAGTGACTTCTCAGTAATGGTTGCCCCAGTACTGGAGTTTTTCTGTAAAAAATGTAAAGATTGCCGCTCGTAGCTCCATACCTGTTAGATTTCAGGCTGCTTCCAAAGGCTGTCACAGTCATTTTCTCAGTACTGAGTGCTCATTAGTAGCTACACTAAACGGTAATGAGGGCTTTCTCCCCACAGTTCTCGCCCTTCTCTCTCCTGTTGAATTTGATCTTTCGTACTGTTTTGCAGGTGCTCTGCTCTTGGCTTAGTAACAGCCCCAATTATGAAGAGATCACAAAGTGGTACCTGGGTTGGAAATCCATGTTCTCAGACCAAGTGTTGGCGCATCCCTCCATCAAAGACAAATTTAATGAAGCTCTTGATATCATGAACCGGGCTGTCTCTTCTAGTGTCGGTAGGTGGCTTACTGTGCTGGTTCCTTTTCTCCCCCTGAAGCAGCGTTTGGTTTCTATGAGTCTGTGTGTATATATGTATATATGGATGGATGGACTTGCTAATCAGCATTTCATCAACTCCAATGAGCAGGAAAATTGTAAATGCTTTTTACCTTGTTCTGTCCACAAGAAGCACCTGCAAGGTGTTGTTAATAATTGTCTGCACTTCACTGAAGCAGAAACAGATTTAGCAGATTTCTGGGGGTTGGTTGCCTCTGCCATTAAACAGCTCATTCTCCATGTAGTCTGAATATAGTACATTTTATGTCAGTCACTGGGAGATGGTCATTTAAAATGTTAGGTTCTGAAGTTGTTTTTTTCTTTTCCTTTTGGGTGAGATACTTCAGGGCATTGGGGCATTGCCCACCCTTCTACAGACCTCTCCCTGTGACATAAAAGATCACTGGGAATTTGCCAGGAACTAACCTGTATAAAAAGAGGGGGAAGTGCCTGAGGGAGGAGAAGCATCTAAAATGTGTCTTTCCCTTGGCGAATGATTTGACTGTTCCTCTAGGAATTTGTTGTATAGCATGACGGAGAATTCAAATCGGAAGCATAGATCCTTTTTTAAATAAATAAATCCTTTCTTTATTAGTTGTTTTTCTGTGGTAAAAGGATGCAATCACAGGCAAGCATTGCACAAAGAGGAATTTATCTGTTACAAAATTTCTGGCATGGTCCTCTGGGCAGCCACAAAGTGAACGGAAAGTGAAATACCTTTTGGTGAATTGCCTCCTCTTGCAACATGCTTTGTTTTTGTAGCAGTCCCTGTTTGCAGCTCAGAGGTGGTATGTGGAGACCTCGGGTCAGGCGTTGTCTTTAAAAAGTGGTTTTTGTTCTTTCCTGTGCTCACGTGTGCCCTTGTGAGCAGCAGCACAGCTCTTCCTCTGCTGTGCTTCTCAGACAAATTGGGGTTGCAGCAGATCCTGTTCTTGCGGTTCACTGATGGACCTAACAAGTCTATATCGTATCAGTATTAACACTGTAAAACTCCAGAAGCAAGAATGTCTGAAAAGGAGCATTCAAATCCAAATGTGCTTTCCAGGACTTTACCCTTCCTCCGCCCTGGCCTGGAGCATGCCGTGTGCTTTGCACGGGGAGTGGTGGGGGGCCTCGTTCTCACGGTTTCCTCTCGCAAACAGGCGGCTACATGCAGCCGGGTGCTCGGGAGAACATCGCCTACCTCACGCACACGGAGCGCCGCAAGGACTTCCAGTACGAAGCCATGCAGGAGCGGCGCGAGGCCGAGAACATGGCGCAGCGCGGCATCGGCGCCGCCGCCAGCTCCGTGCCCATGAACTTCAAGGACCTCATTCAAACAAAGGCGGAGGAACACAATATTGTCTTCATGCCCGTGATTGGGAAGCGGCACGAAGGGAAACAGCTGTATACGTTTGGACGGATTGTGATTTACATCGACAGAGGAGTTGTGTTTGTACAGGGAGAAAAGACTTGGGTGCCAACCTCCCTCCAGAGTCTCATTGATATGGCTAAGTAAGGGCCCTGCTTTGAACTGTGAAGGTTGTCTTATTTTAATGTAACTGTCTTAGAATAAAGAAGTTACAGTTTTGTAAATAGATGAAAGCTCAGCTGTATGCTGGGATTTTTTTCCTTAAAGCTCTTCAAATGGTACCAACAGCTAAAACCACACGTGGAGGTTGATGCCAAGGAGAAAGGAGCAGGTCTGACGTGTGCGTAATGGCCACCTCGGAAATGGATCCATTGGTTGTGTGCTCCCTTCATCAGGCAAGTGAGGGCTAAAGGGACCCCTGGAATCATCTTCTGCACAAGCAGGGCTCTCGCCAGTCCCATGTCCACAAGGGCTTTGTCACACTGTGCCTCAGCAGGCTCCAGCCGTGAAGATGTCACAGCCTCTACCTGCTGTCCCCGAAAACTCTTATCCTGATAACGGCCCTCACTCTGGTGGCCCTTCTCTGCAAACAGAGAGGCCACACTGTGCCACTGTTAGGCTACTCTAAACCTTAAACTGGGAAATGCAGTAGTGAGGAATGACAGAGATGGTTTTTTTAAAAAAAAAAAAGATTTTATTTTTTCCATTTTCATCCTTCCCTCGCCTTCTAGAAGGAAACAGCCCAATTCTTCACAGAAGAACGTGGTAGAAGAACTGTTTCCACTGGACAGCTGAAGTTCTCTCTTGTCCTCAGATGAGGTGTTTTAACCCTGTATTTCAAACTGGGTATTAGCACCTTGAACTATAAATCCCTCACAAATAAACACCCCCTTTTGGTTACTTCCCACTCTAAGAAGTACAGACAAAGGCCCTGAATTGTACCAATGAATGATCATTAAGTGGTAAGAGTGGTTGAAAACAGTCTTTAAATGAGCTTGCTTGTAGTTTCAAGTGGCCATAAGCCACAGCACAGCAGCTCCATATACTGCATAACCACTGTGAGAGACCAACCTGTCCCACGAAGGTCAGTGTGCAGGTGCTGCCCTGTACGGCTGGGGATGCTGTGGCCACTGCCTAGCTTAACCCCGGTGCAGGAGCTGCCGAGGGAGGGGAGGCCGCCCTGCACCCGCAGGCAGCAGCCGCGGAGCACGGCTGAGGCTCCAGCGCCGCGGGACACTATGGGCTGACGCTGTCCTCCTTCCTGATGATCTCCAGGTCCTCGCATTCCTGGTATGTAGGCTCTTCCACGCACTCCCAAACCTCACAGGAGAGCTCCTTGAGTTTTTGCAAGGGGAACCAGTGGATGGAGGTGTCGTTGAATGTATCTGTATACTGAGGGTGACTTGGAAATGCAATTTCCTCGGTCCCTTTTAAGACCTAGGAGTAGTCAAGAGAACAGTCATATAGGGTGCATGCACAACCGTGGTGTTAATAAAGCTAATGCTTCTTACCTTTGCTATGTAAGAATAATCTCTTTCCAGGATTCTTGACAACAGCCTACCACAAAAAAATAAACTAGCATTAGACACTTGATCTGATGAATTTAAGACGGCTCCGCTTCTAAAGAGGAGTGAGGGGAGAAAAGAGAGGGTTGATGGCTACTTCAGAGCAAGCTGAAAATGGGCAAAAGCTCACGTACTGCCTGAAAAGCGGTGTGGAGAACCACAGCAGGAAGCAAGCTCAGAGGGGGCTGGTGGTGGAGGGTGCGCAGGCGCAGAGCTCTGCGCGCCGGGCGCGCTCCTACCTCTCCTCGATGCCGCGGAAGCTGTTGCCGATGATGACCATTTTGGAGAGCGCGCCCAGGGCCCAGTTGCTCCACAGCAGGTTGTTGTAGAGCGCCTTCCCGCAGTGGATCATGTAGAAGAGCGTGGCAGCCTCCCCGACGCGGTGCTTCCCCTCCTGCCCGCGAGCGGGGCTGGTGACCCGCGCCCGGCGAATCCCCTTCCCTGGGCACGCAGGGGGCCGTGGAGGCCCCAGGGCCGCTCCGCCTGCAGCTCCGCCATCTCCCAGGCTCCCAGGGCTGCTCCCCGCATTGCTCCGCAGCCCCCCACGCTCCCGGTGCTGCCTGGCCTGGAGCTCTGCAGACCCAGCCTCCCAGGGCCGCTCCTCAGAGCTCCGCAGACCCCGGCGCTCCCGGTGCTGCTGCCCACGGCGCTCCGCAGCCCCCCAGGCCGCTGTGCCGGGGGCCGCGGGGGGCCGCGGGGACACGGGCCGTGCTCACCTCGTTCTCGGGGAGCAGGCGCAGCCCCAGCTCCGCCAGCAGCGCCAGCTCCTGCTGCGAGAACGCGGGGTCGAACACGAAGCACTGGCTGGGCGGCAGCTGCGGAGCAGAGCGGGGGTCACTGCGGGCCGGTTCGGTTCGGCTCGGTTCGGCGGGGCGGGGCGGTCCTTACCCCGAGCTCGTCCAGCAGCAGCAGCAGCAGCGCGAGCTGGCGCCGGGCCACGGGGCACGAGCAGAAGCGGCCCAGGCCGTAGCCCACGCAGCGCGAGGGCGGCCGGGCGCGCAGCGCGCCCCGCAGGGCCCCTGCGGGTCGACAGCAGAGCAGCCGTGCCGGGCGTAGGGGATCCTTGGGGGTCCTAACCTTGCTGTTGTTTTCCCCGCCTCCGGCGTCGCCGCGACGCGCTC